TTAGAAGTGTCAATTGAATCTATATTTTTTTTTATGTCATCCACATTCAGATCATTTGGTTCTGCTTTTACATCTGTATCCAGTTTTTCTGGGGACCCATTGCTGTCAGATTGGATTATATCCTCTATTAAATCAAACTCACTTGTTAAATCATCAAAATTCACTACACCTCCAGGGTTAATGGAAACCGTAGGATCATATTCAACACTAGCTATATTCTGTTTAATCTCATTTATAACTTCTATGTGTTCTTTGTTTTCTTCACTTAGAGATTTATTTGTTTTAACACTAGAAAGAATACTTAATGGTGTAGGTTTGTAGGTTGGATTTTCGATTTTTGTTGTAGGACGTAACTTTTTGTCCGGTCTAAATGCTAAGTCCGGCACATAACTTATAGGTATATGGCTTCTATTACTTTGAATATTTGCAAGCTCACTTTTAGGGGTTGGTTTGTAAGTAGGTACATCTTGTGCATGTTCTTTTTCTTCTTTTTTTCTATGTCTAAAATGGCAGTATGGCCTGCCACATGAACTGTTGTAATAAGGGCATTCAATGTCCTGAAAATAACCCTTTGTAGGCAACATAAGTACTGATACAACTGCAACAAGCACATAACCTCTTTATTTACAAAAATAACGACAACTGTAGTTGACAGTGACAACTTTGACGTTACTTATTCTTCAGCTTTTCTCTGGTCTCCGTCGTTATATCCTGCACAACCACATATGTGATTTTCGAATTCTTCACAATGCGTAGTAATAAAACAGAAACACTACTTTATTTATAGTTTGTTTAAATAACTAAAATTATTTATTATCATACTAAATAGATAACAATATAAAATAATGTAATATACACTGATAAAACTGAATTATCAACGGAAAACGGACATTGTGATATGTGATGTTACAGGTCAATGACATTTTCTTGATTTTGAATTTATTAATAAAATGAGTAAATTTATGAGTTTATATCGATTGTAGGAAACATTAAACAACGATTGTTTAATCTCTGTTCTGATATAAATGAAGAGATAATTAATTGTTTATTTCAATTATTTAGTTATCTATTTTGTAATAGAATGTATAGTTATCTGTTTTGGATATAATATGTAATCAGCGAGACCTAATTTTGTTACAATAATAAATTTTAATAAAGATATAAAGATATATGTCACTCTACTTTGCTAAAGACTTTTCTATTTAATTGTCGCTGTTCATTTTATTTCTCGTAACTGGTACATAATGGGAAACATCCGGTCTCAGGGATTATGGCATAAAAATATCTACATAGAAACATTTATTTTGATTTTGGATGCATAATTTTATATTTTTATTCATAAAAGAAAATACTGTTGCTACTATTCTGAAAATTTATTTTTTAACACAGGGATATCTACTTATAAAAATATTTTAGAACTATTTAAAGTAAACACACCGATTTTCTGCTGCACTCCAAGCAAATAGGATGTTTTTCTCTCTTTCTGATGGATAGAACACAAGATTTAGTATTCATAAACGTCCCTTTAGATCTGCTTCTATGAGTATCATAGCCAAAGTTTGAATAAAGTGGATCTTTTTCATTGAGGACTTTTGGATGATCACATAAATATAATATAAAATTATTGACACAAATTATGTTGACTAGAGTGTAAAATATGACTAACGGTCATCTCCTGGTTCTTCTATTAGATGCATATAAAGCATTTTTCATATCCATAATGACTACACATTTATTGTTTTTTATCGAAGTTAACTAATTTACTTCATCTAAAAAACGTTTTCTTGGCTTATTTCAGATGCCCCTGAAGATGCTATTTTAAGCGAAAGTAGGTACTTGGGCTAGATTTAATTAACTTGTGCTCGATAATAGCCTTATTTTCAAAGTTCATTTATTCGAGCATTCAACCTCATTTCAATTATTTATTGTTTTGTTATAATTACAGACAATTTCCGGTTTATTTTTATCAGGGTTTGTTTCAACCATCATGCATGGACACAAGCATATAAGCACAACTGATCGGTTGATTTTCGGAACAATTCACAAGAGATTGACAGGTATATTAGTAGCAAATACGTAAAGTGTTGATCAAACCGTTCTAGATTTATTTGCTTTGAACTGAGGTGTTTTATTGATGCTCATAGTGGCGACATATCTTAGAGATATTTTTCTAAGTTCTTCTACCAGCTCCAATGAAGTGAACCAATTATTGTCGGCCGTAATATTGCGGTTCGATCCTTAAAGCGGTTTACACAGACGTAATACTGATTGAGTGGGTTTCAGAAGCCTGCTTTCTTCTTCGGAAAGTCCAGGTGCATTTCTGTCCTTGCCGTGAAAATGTTAAATGCATTATAGAGGTTCTTTGACATGTTCATGCGAAATCCACATTTACCTCTAAATTCAAAATTAAGGCTTCTTATATTATATTTATGATTGAAAATCAGGTGATAAAACAACGCTATAAATAATGCTAAAATTAGAAAAGCTTGTGTTCCAGATGATACACCAACTGAGTTGGTGAGAAACTAATAGAGAATGATAACATACAAGTAGTAGTACGACTTTTTAATTCAATATATAACACCGAAGTGATTCCCGCAGATTGGCTCAAATTCATCTTTGTCGCAATACCTAAAAAACACAATGCGAGAAAATGCTCAGAATATCGATTAATTAGCGTAATGAGCCACACTCTTAAAACTTTCCTCAGATTACTTCACAACAGAATTAGACGCAAATGCGAAGAAGATCTTGAAGATACCCAATTTGGTTTTAGAAATGCTATGGGAACCAGGGAGGCACTTTTTGCGCTTAACAATCTATTACAAAAATGCCGTGACCAAAGAAAAGATGTATTTGCATGTTTCGTGGACTTCGAAAAAGCATTCGATAAAGTACAGCATGTAAAATTAATGCAAATACTGAAAAATATCGGAATAGATGACAAGGATATTCGTGTCATTAAAAATTTGTACTGAAATCAAACTGCTATCGTAAAAATTGGAGATAACTACACCGATGAAATCTCTATACAACCAGGAATCAGACAAGGTTGCATTTTGTCGCCAACATTGTTCAATGTTTAGTCGGACCAGTTATTTAAAAAGGCACTTGAGAGACAACCATATGGAATAAAAATCAACGGGGAACTACTTAATGTGATTAGATATGCAGACGATACAGTAATTCCATCAGATAATATTGAAGGTCTTCAAATTCTGCTTGATCGTATTCACGAGGTAGGAGAGGAAATGGGCATTAAAACAAACTCAAACAAAAAAAATTTTTAGTGTTTAGTCGTGACCCACATCCCGATGCAAATCTTCAATTAAACGGAGTCCAAGTTGAGAAAGTTCACAAACTGACATATTTGGGAACTGTGATAACGGACCAACTAGATTCAGACATAGAAATAAAACGTAGAATAGCAATGACTAAAACTACTTTTATGAAAATGAAGTCATTTCTTTGCAATAACCATCTCAGTTTAGAACTAACGCAAAAAATGGTTAAGTGCTATGTTTGGTTCGTACTTTTGTATAGTGCAGAAGTGTGGACGCTAAAAGTATCGATCATGAACAAAATCGAAGCATTGGAAATGTGGGTTCATAGACGAATGCTGAAGATACCTTGGACAGCAAGGAAAACTAATGAAGAAGTACTAAGGAGCGCCAAGAAAGATAGAGAACTGCTAAAGACTGTTAAACATCGAAAAATGTCTTATCTGGGACATATAGTAAGGGAAGTCCATATAAAATATTACAACCGATCCTAAACGGCAAAATAGAGGGCCGTATAGGTGTAGGAAGAAAACAAGTTTCTTGGTTAAAAAACATTCGTGAATGGACTCAGATACCAAATGCAGGACAATTGTTCCATATTGCAGAAGATCGAGAAGCTTTCGCAATGGTGATCGCCAACGTCAGATAATTCTGATATATTAGGCGAAGAAGAAGAAGATATAGATGACTGAGAAAGGGAGTATATTGAGTGATTTGAATCGAATTTTGGGCCTCGCCTGCACCTTCTTCTGATAGTAGGTTATTATAGTGTAATATTTTCTAGTTTCTTTCTGTTGTTGACTTTATAAATTTCTACGCTTCTCTGTTTCTTCGTCCCCCTATGTAGGTATTGATTTCCTGTCATTTTCTATCCTATATTTTTTTTGTGTAAACTCCAAAAATATAAATATTGTCATATGATCTACTTAGATCCTTTTACTTTTACTGGTTATGGGCGCGAAGAAATAATATGATTAATAATTGTACTAAATTGTTATAGATCATTATTGAATATTATATATTCAGTTCCTCCTGAATGCGTACTCTACATTCAACTTTTTCAAGAGTTGGTTTTGTTAAATTCACCAACTGATTTGGTATTCCTAGGTCTTTCATTGCTTTGAACATTTCTCTTCTATTCACCGAGTCGCAGGCTGATTTGTAGTTTATAAATATGTAATGTCTATGCATGCCATATTCCAGTGGTTTTTCTAAAATTTGTTTCAGTGTTGCAATCTGATGAATTTTCGATTTACCACTTGTGAAACCAGCCTGGTATTTTTCTACTATCCGTTCTGCGTATGGTGCCATACGGTGACATACTACTGTTGAAAATATTTTATACGCTGCATTTAGAAGCGTATTCAGTAGAATTTCTCTGTGATTAGAGCAAAATTGTTATAGATTCAGAAGTTAAAAAATACTTTTATTATATGCATTTTCAAGACACCTTATTTGTGGATAATGTGTCCTGTGGCCATTTAGAGCTGCTTTTAGCGAGTTCTGAATCCCTTTTTTAAAACAAAATATAGACCAATGGTTATTTCTAGAGAGCAGAAAGACATTGTTACGAATTGCGGTTTATTCATAAAAAAAAATACATAACATATATAATTATTATATAAGGTTTAAAGACAAACAGACCCAAATAGTTTACAATATTTTCTTTATATTAATCAAGTATTATTTTGTTAACAATGCGTAATTTTTTCTTTTTAGAAAAGACAGATTGAAAAACAAACTAGAAGACATCGAAAACAAACTTACCCAATCGAAAGTGAATCTTGATGACTCGGATAAATTTTTGGCGAACGCATCGGCATTACTAGAAGTATCAGTCGGGAAATTGAAACAACTACAGGATGCTCCCGAAATTTTAGAAAGTTTTAATAATAATTTTAACAACGAACTGGAAAACAACAAAATAGAATTAGAAAACATTGAAAAGCTAAGACCCCAAGTACAAGAACATGCCACCAATTTATCCAAGCGAGTTGAACAACTTGAGCATATTTTATCTGAATCGCAGTTCGGATCTCAAGATGCCGTGAAAGCCGCGAGAGCATACAAGGATATTGTGGCAGCCGTTAAAAGTGCTAGAGAAGCAGCAGACAGTGCACAGAATGATACAAATCACGCTGCAGGCATCCTTAATAATGTACAAGAACGTACGAATGATGCTGAAACAAACTCAGAAAGAGTCTTGGACGAAGCTCATAATTCCAAAACATCGACCACTGATACGTTAAAACCCAAGTTGAAGACGTCAATAGAAATGTATCAGCCGGTGAAGAAAGTACTAGATGACGCAGGGCAATTATTAAAAGAGATCGAGAAAATTTTGGAGAATATGCAAATTCAAGATTTAGAAGAAGGGTATAAAGTTGCAGCGAAAAATGCGGATGACGCTGCGGAGTCAGTTGGCGAAGTAAAAGAGTCTGTTACTACATCATATAACAATGTAAGTACTCTACTACTAAGATTTTGCTTTTATCTTCTTTCATTGTTTTTTGTCTTAATTTCATTAGCGTTATAGAATTGTTTAGGAATTAGGTCTAATTCGGTGATCTTTTTGCTTAAGTTTTGAATCAATTTAGATATCTCAGACTCATCTGCACTCAACTTCTCTTCATTCGTCTGCAAAAATCTTATTCCGTACCGTTTTTTGAAGTTTTCGAACCAACCTTAACTAGCACGAAAATCAGTTTTCTTTGTAAATTCGTGATAAGTAAGCTTTATTTTTTTAAAAGTCACCTGGAATAGGAGCTTGTCTTGTTTGTTGTTACTTAAACCAGATTTGCAGAGCTTCTTCAACATCAGGAAATGCACTAATTTGAAGAGTTTGTCCTTATATACTTATATAGTTTATATACTCCCAAAATTGTTATTTCTGGTCTTGTTAGTGGATCTTTACCTACTCGTGAGAAAAAATGTAATTATATAAAATGTAATAAAATCAAGACATACTTTTCAGCTACCTAATGAAACAGCCCAGGCTCAATTGCTTCCAAAAGAAGTCGATGATATGCAACGCAATCTAGTCCAGACTGAAAAACAAATCAATACCGTAAAGGAAAAACTGCCATCCGTTCTTGAAAGCATTGAAGAATTACCAGCGATTCACACGGATACTAAACGTAAATCTGAGATGATCAAATCAAATTTAAAAAAGCTGACTCAGCAGATCGATTTAGCGAGAGACATAGCCAACAGAATTAAACTAGGAGTAAAATTCTTTACTAACACGACTTTGGAATTAAGAAATCCTAAGAATCTAGAGGCATTGAGTACTTCGTCTAAGTTTTCAGGTTACTTTAAAACCAATGAAAGACAGGGTCTTATCTTTTACATTGGAAATCCGAATGCTACAAACATACCCAAACAGAAAACTGTAAGTTTTATATTTTATATTTCTTAACTTAACTCCTTAGCTTTTGTTAAATATATACTTGTAAGTAATTTGTATCACCGACTTTCGGGTTATTAAAAAAGGAAAATTTAGAAAAATAATTTGACCTTCTTAGTTCTATTTTTAGACCTTTTGTATTTTATAAAGTGCATGTTTAATCATTTTTAGGAGGACTATATGGCTTTGATAATTCAAAATGGTTATCCCGTTCTTAAATTCAACATTGGTAATGGAAATGAACAGATTATCAATCCCAAATATGTCGCAGACAACAATTGGTATCAATACATCATAGAAAGGTAAAATTTCGTTGTAACTAAATTTTTTAATTTATATTTTTCCTTACTTAACTATAATGTAAGTAAGACTGAAGATTTATTAGAGTGACTTGAAGATATATTGCAAAAGAATAAGATCTGAAGAAACCTAATAAAAGGAGAGAAAGATTATTAGAGCTTTGTCAACGTTAGATAATTTGTTATTAACAATTTAATTGTTGTACACGCTCCTTGATATACCCATTGGTTAGAGAAGAAGAGGAAGACCCAAAACAATATTCCTTGATAACATCGATAATAAAATGGGAAATATGAGAATACGTGCTGAACAGAACTGAACAGAAATTTTTGAGGAGGCTAGCACCCACGCAGGGTTGTAAGTAAAGCCAGAATGAAGATGATAGCTAAACCCTATACAGTTGAATTTGCCACTAAAAGGAGTCATTTCATTTATTCAGTTAAATATAAGGTCTTCTATGTAAAAAAAGATCGATGACGTTATAACTTCGACAAATATAACAGAAAATAATTAAATGTACAACAAAAACATTCTTCTTCTTAACATGCCTCATCCCTAAGGACATTGGCGATCATCATGGCCCATTTGACTCTATCTGCAGCCGTTCTATAAAGTTCTATTGACGTTTTCCCACTCCATTGGCTCAGATTCTTCAACCAGGACGTGCGTCTTCTCCCCTGTTCTCTTTTGCCTTCCACTTCCCTTCTATGACCAGACCGCATCAATCCGTATTTCTCGTTTCTTAGTATGTGACCAAAGTGGCTCATTTTTCTTTTCTTTATAGTGTTGAGTATTTCTTTATCTTTTTGCATTCTTCGTAGCGTTTCCGCATTTGTTATGTGTTGTGTCCAAGATATTTTCCACATTCTTCGATAACACCACATTTCAAAGTGAATGAGTCTTTTCTCTGTCGCCTCTGTAATTGTCCAGACCTTAACTCCATACAACAGGACAGAAAACATGTAGCATCTCAATACTCTAGTTCTAATTTTAATGTTGAGTGTTCCATTGCATAATGTTGCTTTCATCTCTAGAAGCACTTCTACCTATCTCAATACTCCGTTTTATTTTCGTACTTCTATCCCATTCTTCATTTATTTCTAACTGATATCTACACACCCTGCCTAAAAGTTTTCCTTTAGCATAAACACTGTCTTCTTCAATCTTGTTCTTGCTTGCCACCATGTTTTTTGTTTTATTTGTATTCAGTGCCATTCCATACCTTTCGCAGTATTGGGTAATGCGATCAACCAGGATCTGTAGCCTTTCTTGGCTGTCCGCAAGGAATATTGTGTCATCTGCGTATCTAAGATTATTCACAAGTGCTCCGTTGATAAATATGCCTTCATTTACGTCTTTAATGCCTGTTTAAACAATTCTTCTGAATACATATTAAAAAGTAAAGGGGAAAGCACACATCCTTGTTTTACTCCACGATTTATAGGTATTTCTTTCGATTTTTGTTGGTCTATTCGTATTATGACTTTCTGATATCGGTATGGATTGGCAATGATTCTCACGTCTTCATCATCTAATTCTCTGTTTTGCAGTATTTTTACTAATAGCATTTTTATGTGTTCTTCCCGTCTGTTTATTTTATCTGTACATTCCGTTATTATCTTGTTATTTTTATCCATGATATTTCCGATACCCTTCTTCTTGTAAAGACCAGCTGTCTCCTTGATTTTTCGGTGTATGTTAAAACTGTCATGTTATTTTTCTAAAAATAACCTTCCTATTTCTTCACACTTTTTTGATAGCCACAGTCCCTTAGCTTCTTTGATTTTCTGTTTTATTATTTTAATAATTTTTTTGTACTGTTGTTCGTTTTTATTCTTGTGTGCCCTTCTTTCCGTCATCAGTTCTTTTATTTTATCTCTTTTGATTATTACAAAAACATTACAATTTGAAAATAAAAATCGACCTATTATTTGATTCAAATCTAAACTATATCAAGAACAACATTATTAATTTTATGCGTTACTTTTGGGACAAACCATATTTCTACTATTATTCACAATTTACCCAAATGAAAACAAGATTTTTTTAAGAATGCCACACAAAAATAACTCGAATAGATGTTTATGTTAAAAAAGCGAGGTTTTTTCACATAAACTAATTTTTATTTTCAATAAAATACTTTTAGGTATTTAAGAGAGCCGTGTTGAGCAAATACACTAACAGGGACAATACTAGGGTGATTATGTAGTGAACTGTAATAATAACCATCAGATTTAAAGCTTACCTCATTTACCTCATAGAGGGCGCTGTATTTATTAAATATGTTCTTAACTGGTAATTTACTAAACGGTTACAATTTGAACTCTCTTCATAAGCATTTTATTTTTCTCTTTTATAAGTTTTATAATAATAAATCATTGTTTTTCATTTTAGGGTTGGTTTCAATGCCAAATTATCCATTCGTGAAGAATTACAAGATGGAACAGAAAACGTTATAACAAAAGAAAAGTCACTGTCTGGTCCTTATACCGTTTTCAATCTAGATGAGAAAAACTCAAAAATATTTGTAGGAAGTATACCTAACAACTATCAAGTTCCTGATGGTCTAGATTCCGGATCCTTTGATGGTGAGATGGAAGATATAGTAATAGGAAACACGCCAGTGTCCTTATGGAACTTCAACTATGGATACGAGAATAACCATGGAGCGTTAGAAAGAGATAAGTTGGTAAATCTAGCTCCAAGCAACGGTTTCCGATTCAACGGAAAAGGATATGCCATTCTTGATACAAGATCTCTACAGTTCCGAGCTAAATCAACAATACAGTTATACTTTAAGACATATGCTACAACTGGATTACTATTTTTAGCTGGAAAAGAAAGAACATTTATATCTATTGAAATTCAGAACGGCAAAATTCTATTCCAGTACAATTTAGGAGGAGCCACCAAGAAATGGGTTACCGGTAAGGCGTACAATGATGGTAACTGGCACAAAGTTACCGCAAGCAGGGATGGAGCTAAAGGAAAATTGGTGGTCGATACTGAAGATGTCATAGATAGAACACGAGAAATAAGTGGTTCTACCTTAGAATTCATAGACACAATATCTTTCGGAGGATATCCAAACAGGCATAACTTCGCCGATGTAACCGAGGCTCGATTCGACGGATGCATTCAGAATGTTACTATAATGGGCCAAGCAATTGATTTAAGAAATAATATTAAAGCATTCGATGTGGAACCTGGATGTCCTGATAAATGGTCTTCGATGGTGTCTTTCGGACAAGATCAAGATCATTATGTAGGATGGGATAAACTTCCTTTAACTAATGAGTTTAATATGAGCCTTAAATTTAGAGCCGTCGATGATGACGGACTTATTTTCTACATCTCTGATCCTTCCCAGGACAATACAATATCTTTATCATTACACGACGGTCATCTTGTTCTTATTGACCAAAAGATCGAACTAAAATCTAAAGGGATATTCAATGACAGTAAATGGCATGTAGTGTCGGTAATCCATAATGATACATATCTCAGGATGGATATTGACGATCAGGAAAGTCAAGTTACTGATGCTACTCCTCCGTTTATACATGCGCCAGTTTCTAGTCTATATGTAGGTGGGTTACCTCGAAAAATCGAACCACAGTATAATTCAGTAGCTGCAACTACAGCGTTCTATGGCTGTGTAGCTGATCTAACAGTTAATGGCAAAGTTAAAAACTTTGCTAACACTACTGACAGACATGCTGAAATTTTGGACAAATGCGTTTTAGATGATTCCCCAGAAGATATAGATCATTCAATACCAGATTTAAAGCCAATAGAAAACAAAGGGTATTATACAACTGAGGCGCCTCCAGAAACTACAGTAAACCTCGAAGAAGCTTACGCTACAGTAAGAGGCGATGGAGGTAATGACTTTAGACCTATTATTGAAGTAGATATTCCCATTCCCCCTGTTACAGATGTTGTAACCGAGATAGTACCAACAGAACCAACGATGCCTAAACGGATTGGTACCTTACCTCCTACAACACTATCTCCTATCACTGATGGCTGTGCATTATCACCAAACCCAGTACAAGAAAGCGTTCAAGTAGTAGGATATAGATTTGGTACTCACAACGGTAGTAGATTGGAATGTCCTACTGCAAGAGGAAAATTCAGGAAAGTTTTTGACTTTAGGTTTGAGTTTAGATCCAAAGAACCCGAAGGAATATTGTTTTACGCTTCTGATATAGGCGCAAAACTACCATCACCGGATCATAAACAGTATGTAGCTGTTTATTTGTCTGGAGGTCAAGTTGTATTCACCTTTAAAGGCGACGGAGATGCAGTGATAATCAAATCGAAGAATGTATATAATGATGATAAGTGGCATTTGGTAGAGTTTAGCCGAGAGAATTTCGATGGAAAATTGGTTATTGATCAAGAAGATGTAAGTACAGGCAGCTTAGCAAGCAAGACTCATACTTTGAACATTCAAGTTCCATTTTACATAGGAGGACTTGCGCCAGAATTATATAATACTGCTCATATGGATCTTAACACCACCGCAACATTCTCTGGATGCATTCGCAGTATGTCTATGAACAACAAACCTCTAGATACTGCAGTAGAGTATGGAGTTATACCTTGCTCTGATAATGTAGAAGTGGGTACATTCTTTGGTGGAGGCTTAGAAACATACGTGAAACTAAAGGATAAGTATAAAGTTGGTTTTATGTTTAACATTAAAATGGATATTAAACCAAGAGTCGACACAGGAGTTTTGGTGACGGCTCATGGAAAGAAAGATTACCTTGTTTTAGAATTAGTAAACGGAACTGTAAGGCTTCACGTTGAGAATGGCAAAGGTCCTATATCTGCTACGTTTATACCACCCAATAACAATCATTTCCATTTGTGTGATGGTAACTGGCACAATATTCAAGGTATGTACATAATTTTTTTTATTGTTTCTTTGTCTAAGTTTTCTATTTACGCCCTATTTTATGTATTCTGTAGTTATATTTTACTTAAGAAAAGCAAGCACACTTTAGCAAGTCACTAAAAAATTAATGTTTAAAGAATTTTACCTGGAATTACTCCATACCTTTAGCTCTTAGCTGTACATTCTTTATTTTTTTTAGCCGTTAAATCTAAGAACGTAGTGACGTTATCAGTGGACAACCTCTTTACTGATCCCAAAATAGGCCCCCATGCCTTCTCTACAGATACCGGTAGCGCCCTCTTCCTAGGTGGCCATCGGTTAATCAAGAAAGTCCGCGGTATTCAATCAAGGACCTCATACATCGGTTGTATCAAGAACATTGAGATCAACAACGAACCTTTGGAGCTATCATCTGGTATGCCGATTAACGGAAATGTGACCCTTGGGTTCTGCCCTACTAATTAGTTTTATATTTAATAATAAATATTTGTAATAATTCATATCTTTTATTGTACCTTTAACTAAAGTAA